AGTCCAGCGCCATAGCCATTACGCTAACTGCTGGTTCCCAGTGTCTCTTATAATTTGATAGGGATTTTATTAAATATGTAGATTAATTTGGGTAGAATTGCCATTTTGATTATATTAATTCTCCCAATCCAGGAACATGGGATGTCCTTCACTTTTTTGTGTCATTTTCAATTTCATTTTTAAGATTTTTATAATTTCATAGTTTTCCTTTGACTTCCCTGGTTAGATCAGTTCCTAGGTATCTTATACTTTTCATGGCTATGGTAAATGGGATTACTTTCTTCAGTTTTGCTTTTGTCAAGACAAATATATTAATTAAATACTAGCAAAATTAGTAAAATTTAGTTGAACTATGTAAATTCAGTTTAATAGATATTTTCTTGCTGAAAGCCAGTCACTTCATATTATGACTATATTACTGACTATTGCAGCATAGTTTTGTTTTTGTTTTCTAAAGTTCTTTTTTTTTCTTCCATGAGAAAGAGACATGCATGTCCAGCATCCACAATCACACCCACAGTCCATTGCCATTCTCAGCCGGCTTGTATATTGCGGGCATACAAGCGTGTGAACCAGGATATAAACCCAGTACCTTTTTTTTTTTTTCTGAGAGGTTTTTGCTATAGGGTGTGTACACTCACCAGACAGACAGAGAGACAGAAAGCCAGAAATCACCCCCTGGGGGGATGGCCACGCTGCAATTCCTTCTCCTCCGTTCTCCTCTCGGGATCTTGGGCATGCATGCACATGCGCCCGGCATGTTTTAAGCTACCGGGTCCAGGACGTGAACCACGGTCGACTAGATGGGAGGCCAGCGACATAGCCATTATGCTAACTGCTGGTCCCAGTACCTTTCAAGTAGTAAACTGTTGCATCACTGCCTAGCCCCTGGTTTGTTTCTTTAGAGTTAAGCATAGCTGTGCTACTATGTAAATATTTTGTGATAATTCAATCTTCTACCTTTTTTTAAAGCATGATTTTATTTATTTATTTTGATTTGACCAGAGAGGAATAGAGAGAGAGAAAGGGAAAGTGAGAAAGGAAAGCTGCCCGGTCCAGGACTCAAAGTACAGTTGACCACATGGGAGTCCACTGCCCTTAACCACCATGCCACTTACCAGCCTTCTCCTACCTTTTACATTACTGTTTAACCTTGTTTCTTAGCAGCATTCCCTGCTGAGGTGATTTGGTGTTCTTGGTTTGAAGATATTTGACTTTTATGTTTGCCTATGTTATTTAACTTTTATGTTTGTTATCCTCTTAATCCCTGCTGAAACCAGGAAGAACAAAGACACATGAAGATCATAGATGAGACCATGGCCCAGCTACAGGACCTGAAGAATCAGCATCTGGCCAAGAAGTCAGAAGTCAATGACAAGAATCATGAGATGGAGGAGATTCGTAAGAAACTAGGGGGTGCCAACAAGTGAGTGGGTTCAGGCCTGGGGTGGGAGGAAATAGAATAGGCAACCTGCCAGATTTGGGTCTCACCTAGGCCCCTGAACCTTTTTAGGGAAATGACTCATTTACAGAAGGAGGTGACAGCCATTGAGACCAAGCTTGAACAGAAGCGCAGTGACCGCCACAATTTGCTACAGGCCTGCAAGATGCAGGACATCAAGTTGCCACTATCTAAAGGAACCATGGATGATATTAGTCAGGAAGAGGTAAGTGCTATGGCTGGTGGTGGGAGTGGGCTCTGAACAGTATTATCCAGGGCAAGGTAGTGAAAGTGGGTAGGAAGGGCAGGTGAGAGAGAGAAGGCTGGTGAGCAGAGGGTGACAGGGGACATGAAGAGGGACACAGAAGAGATGAGACAAGATGAGATGGCAAAGGTAGGCGAGGTGACAGGTAATAGACTTGGTCTGAAAAGGAAGTTGAATTGAGGGTAGAGCTGTAAGCCAGTGGGTGGTGAAGGAGGTAAGCCGGAAAGAATAAAATCATCCATTAACCTTAGAGACCTGAGTTATGTTCATTCCAGCAGGTGATGGATATTGGTAGGAGTGGGAATTGAGGACTGTTAGCCAAGAACAAAGAAAGACAGGGGCAGCTGGCAGCTGAGGGATGCTAGCTTAGCTGCAATGAGGATGTTGGCCAGGAGAGGGTTTGGGGAAGGACATCAGCGATGCAGAGGTGAGGAAACTTACTTACAGTGAAGGGAGCAGCACGAATCAATAGAAGAGCTGAGGCATGTTAGCCTTTGGAAGTGAAGATTGGTAGCAAAGAGGTAGGGAATGTTAAGGGAGAGAAGGTTTGCCTATTTCTGGTTTTAAACCTGGTCATGTATCTAAGTCTTTCCCCCACCCCTCCTTCCCAAATAGCATTTCAGTTTAATTCAGTAAATTATTTTGAACAACAAAAGTGTGCTGGACATCATGGTAACACGTGACATAATACCCCTAATCCTAACTATAGCACTGCCAGGCTCACACTGTCACATTACAGGTTAAACAAACAAACAAACAAAAAACCTCAGGATCATACCATTAGTGTAAGAGCCAGTTTTGAACTCTGGTCTTTTGCCTGCGAAGCATCTGTTCCTCTTGCCACAGTGCTTTCTAGCAAGGTGCTCTCGAGACACTCAAGGCTGCAAAGGATCTTCAGCCTCCTTTTAGAGGGGCACTCTCATGGCCATTCTGCTCTACTTAGCTCTCTCTTGCCATTGCAGGGTAGCTCCCAGGGGGAAGAGTCAGTGAGTGGTTCGCAGAGAACATCCAGTATCTACGCACGAGAGGCCCTCATAGAGATTGACTACGGTGACCTGTGTGAGGACCTGAAGGTGAGAATCAACCTTCAAGGGTGGGGACATCTTTACAGGTATCCGGAGATGGTCAGCCCATCTGGGGATCCTGTGGAGACCATGGCTGCAAAGAGGGGAGAGGCAGTAAGGGAGAGAGGATTAAGTTGCAAGCCAGGGTCTCCCCCTCCTATAAACACACAGACACATACACGTGTCCCACCTCTCATTCTCCTTGTTGTTCCTATCCTTGTCTGCTACTAGACTTCCCCCTCTATGTGTGTACATTTCTTTCTTTCTTTTTTTTAATTTTCTTTTTCAAAGAATGGGAGTCCATTCATTTATTTTAATTTGACCAGAGAGAGACAGAGAGAGAGAAAGAGATAAAGCAAGCCACTAGGTCCAAGATTTGAACAGTGATCAGTCATATGGGAGTGTCCAGCACCTTAACCACCATGCCACCTGCTGGTCCCTACATTTCTTTATTTTTAGAAGTTTTTGCTAAAGGGTGCATGCGCTTGCCAGGAAGATAGAAGCAGAGAGACAGAAAGTGAGAAATCACCCTCCAGGGGGCATGGCCATGCCGCAATCCCTTCTCTATTCTCCTCTTGGGATCTTGGACATGCATGCACATGCACCCAGCGTGAGTTTAAGGCACTGGGTCTGGGACTTGAACTGCAGTTGACTACATGGGAGTCCAGCGACGTAGCCTTATGCCATCTGCTGGTCCCTATGTGTGTACATTTCTAAGCCAAAGTTAGACATACGGAAAGAACAATCTGTACAGTGGGCAGATTGGCCTCAAGTATTCCTCAAGGCTTTGTCCTCACTTGGCATGCCCTTATTCTGAGGATCCTTTCTCTACCCTGACTTCAGCTGTCCTATGTGTGCTAGGTCCTTCAGGTGCCTCAAAACCTAGCCTTTCTCCCCAAATCTGTCCCTTCTCAGTGTTGTCCACATGTTCAACCCCAAATCTGAGCCTCATCCTTGACTACTTCCTCTCTCACTTGACATATTCATTACCAAGCCGTACTACCACTTTTACCTCCTGAAAATCAATTGAATTCTTTTTTCTGTTTCCTACCATCTCTCTAGTGCAGGCCACTTTTATTATACATAGACTACCACAGGAACCTCCTAAATACAGTAATTTCTAATGTTTTCTGATCCATATTTCATTGATATATCTAGGGGGTATTGACTTTTTTTCTAACTTATTATGGAAAATTTCAAACATACATAGAAGTAAAGAGAGTGATAATGAACCCCAGGCATACATCACTCAGCTTCAATAGTTAGTTAGCAACATACGGTCATTCCCAGTGGACTATTTTAAAGCAAATTAATTATAGACACTATTCCATCCATAATTACCTTAGCATGTATCCCTAGAATATGAAGTTGTTTTTTAAGGTTTTTGCCGTAAGGTGTGTGTGCTTGCTAGAAAAAGACAGAGGGAAAGTGAGAAGTCACCCCCCAGGGGGATATCCACAATGCAGTACTTTCTCCTCTCGAGATTTTGGCCATGTGCGCCTGGCGTGATTTTCAAGCTGCTGGGTCCTGGACTTGAATTGAGATCGACCATGTGGGAGTCCTTACCTACCATGCCACTTGCTGATGCTGAATATGATTTTTTTTTTTTAAAAAAAAAAAAAAAGGAGGAGAGTGTTTTTATTCATGAGCCAGTGAGAGAGAGAGAGAGAATTCCCAGCAAGATCTGGGTGGCTCTCTCTATCTGTCTGGCGAGCGCACGCGCCCTATAGCAAAAACCTCTCCAAAAAAAAAATTAAAAAGGAGGAGAGTGGCAAGTGGTGCGATGGGTAAGACATTGGACTCCCATATGGCTGACCGTGGTTTGAGTCCTAGACCTGGAGACTTGCTTTATCACTCCCTTTCTCTCTCTGTCTTTGTGACCAAATTAAAAAAAATAATAATCTTAAGTTAAATAATTTTTTAGGGAGAAAAGGAACCACAATATCTAACCAAAAGAGATTTGATAACAACTCTGCAGTATCACCTAATACAGTAAATGTTTAGATTTCCATGAAAATCCTTTTTCTTTTTTCTTTTTTTCTCTTTATTTTTTTCAGCTTATGTGTTTCAGTGAATATCCAAGTGAAGTCTATATGTTAAAATTGGTCTCTGCTAGTCTATAACATTTTCCTATTCCTTTTTATTTTTTTCTTTCTATTTATGGAAGAAACTGGGTCATTGGTCCTATAGAATTTTCTATATTCTAGATTTGGCTGATTATGTCCCCATGATGTTATTTAACCTATTCTCCCATCCCCTGTATTTTCTATAAACTAGCAGGCAAATTGGGGTTTGGTTGGATTTAGGTTCTTTTTCGGGGGCAAGAATATGTCATAGGTAGTAAGCTTCCACTTACATCACATCTGTAGATAATGTGATATCAGTTTCTTCTTTATTTTAAAAGTTTATTTCCCTCTTTCATGAGTAAACAAAGTGACACACACACAGAAAGAGAGAGAGAGAGAGCATCCTGAACAGGGTCTTCATGCTGCAAGTCTAGCCCCAGAATTAGCTAGCCCTGAATCATAGGCATGTGCGTGCCCTGCATGTTCATGGAAGTCTCCAGGCATGAACCTGGAACCTTCTCATATGGGTCAGCCTCACAGCATTGTGCTACTGTGATATTCCACTGTGTAGCCCCCTGATCTCTGTTTTCTTTCTAATGATACAGTTAGTGTTCAACATTACCTGTGAAATGTTTTGCCAGAAGTTCAAACATGGATCTGATCAAGCTTCTACATCTACTAATTATAAGAAACACTGGTGCCAGAGGAACACATGAAATAAAATCACAGGGATGCAGTTGCCAAATCCAGACTATGAGATACTCTAAAGGACAAAAGACCTAATTTTTTCTGTAAACAATTGGGAAGGAAAAAAATAAAGAGGGTAGTGGAGCTGTTACAGACTGAAAAAGACAAATCAACAGAGTAAATGAGAGTTAAAGACCTATCGGTCAGTTGTAATGTGCATACCTTATTTGAAACCTGCTTTGACAAAATTATAAAAAATCTACTTGAACGGTGACCAAATATTGTATGTTAATATTTTTAGGTATGATAATAGTATTGTAGTTTATTTTATTTCTATGTTTAGGTTTTAGGGCAGTTTATTAAGCATAAATATTTATAAGGAACAGATTTTTTTTTTTTTTTAGAGGTTTTTGCTATAGGGTGTTTGCGCTCGCCAGACAGAGAGTGACACACAGAAAGTGAGAA